GTGCTTAAACATAGGCGGTAGAGAGACCTGATAAAGCCACACAGGATGGGTAAGGCGACCATGGAGGAAGAGAGCCGAGCGATGTGACCAGAGGTCAGGGGTGCGGACAGCCACTGAGAGCTGGAGAAGCGAGGAACGATTCTCTGCTGAGACTCAACAGAGCCCAGCTCTCCTGACACCTGACCTTTGGGAAAGTGACACTGATTTTAGATTTGTGACCCCCAGGCTTGTGGGAGACCACATTGCTACTGTTTCACGTCGCCTGTTTTGTGGTAACTTGTGGCAGGACCGAAGGAAACAAATACAAGAACCTAAAGGGCTGGGGAGATGGCTTCCGCGGCACAGCACCTGCCTGGTATGTGCAAGGTCCTGAATTTGATTCCCAGTACAAAAAAAATCTTAAGAACTAATAATATCTCTTTAATAGTTAAGCCCTCTCAGAGCTGACACTGTGCTCCTTGCAGCTGAGAGTGACCTAACTGATACACAGCCCCTTGTCCCCTCCGGGTTAGGAGGATTCTTGTCACCCTTGGGGTTACTAGAATTCCAGAAAAGGTCAGTCCCGTCCTGGCAGCCCAGGATGCTCCTGGCCTGGAGGGCATGGCAAGGAGCTGGAGAGGAAGATTCTAGAGACGTGCAGGTCCCAGCCACAGCCCTGCCGCAGTGACCAGGTGTCGGCAGGGTGGAAGCACAGGAGGGAGAACCCTGGTCTGGCCAGGTCTCAGCAGATGCCTGTCCTGGCCCCCATGCCAGAAGAAGCTGACGCCAGCCCTCCAGGGCAGACACTGACGAGTGTTGAGGACAGGGGGGCCCTCTGGGGGTCCAACTCCCGCTCCAGGCCTGTGCCCTCGGTGCCAGGGCCACAGACAGAGGCCAACAGTGGTGGCTTGGGCAGGAGACATCGCAGCTGGGCAGCCAGGCACCCCCGCTGCGCATCCTGTCACGCGGGGAGCTCCCCCAGCTTGCTGGCTGCACTCGTGACCCGCTTGATCTCCCGGAGGTTGCGGAGGCGGGCACTGAGGCTGCTGATCTCTTCCACGTAGGCCCGGGGCACCCAGCCCCTCTCGCCATCAGCCAGGCGGACCCCCTCAAGCCAGCCTGTGGTACACAGCCAAGAGCAGCATCAGTGGCACCAGGGCTGGGAGGGAAGGCTCCAGGGCCCAGTGAGCTCATAGAGCCTCCAGGAAGCGCCCAGCTCCAGGAAGCGCCCTGCCTTTGGAGATGACCTTCTGACCTGTTCTTCCTGGCGTCTCTGGGAAGGGTATTTCCCACTTTCTCTCCCCTGCCACCTCTATGCTACTACTTTCTGTGTGGGAAGTCCCCCCTCTTGTCTAACCTGATTCCCACATGCTGTGGCTGATCTACACTTGCATAACCTTTCCCTGGATGTCTTTGCTATGGAGCTGCCTCCTGCCACCCAGTCCGGCCAGGGAGGACCCCCTAGGAGCTCCACTCACCGTCACTGGTCCGAGTCTTCACTGCCAGGATGTCTGTCTTCTCCAGGGTCAGCTCGTCTGGCTGCAGGGCCTTGTATGTCCTGACACACTGAACCTGGGGGCAGTCTGCCGCCACAGGGAGGGTCAGGAGGGTCCCCTGTCCACCTGCCGGTTGGTCCCGCCCACTCTAGGCGCAGCCTGGGGCTCTGCTCTCTGTGTGCTGGGGTTCCTGCTCTGGCCAAGGGCTCTCACCTCCTGGCTCAGAGCGACAATTTGTTCTTGACCCCTAGCCCCATGTCTGACTGCCTCCCAGCCCCCCATGGACAGTGACATCTGGATACGGGCTGCTCTGAAGCTCCCTCCTGTGTTCCCAACTCAGATTCCTGCCGCATGCCTCCTGGTTTAAAAGCTTCCCACTCCAAAGCCCTCCCCAGGCCTGCAAGGCCCTGCCTGTTCTGTGGCTTTCCTCTTGCCATCCTCCTCCCCTCAGCCTTACGTGCAGCTCCAGCCATGCTGGCTTCCTCTCCTTGCCACCAAACCACTCCAGCACCCTCCTGCCTCAGGCCTTTCCAACAGTGACTGTGGCTGCCTGTCCTCATCCTTTAGGGTCAAGGGTTATTTCCCAGGGGACTTTGCTGACACTTATCCAGAGTAGGGGGCTCACCCCTAGATGGAGTGGGGCTCCTAGGTCAAGCCAGATAATCTGCCCCCATTCTATGCCCTCAGCTCTTTCCACAAGGCCTGGAGAATATGTGGATAGCAGGGGTGGCGGCACGCTACCTTCCCCCTCGCTGATGACCTCCTTGTCCTCCTGGGCACTGGAGGGACACAGGGCTGAGATCCATCGCTGCTTCTCACTTCTGGGGAGGGGAGATTATGCTGTCATGACATGTGAATCACAGCTGTCCAGAGTGGGACTGAGATCACAGCTGGGGGACTGGGAATGAGGTGCAGGCCCCGGCCCCTGGCAGGTCTGTACCACCCGCACAGACCCAAGCATAAGAACAGGCCCAGGGCCTCCTGGATGCCGTCGGAGACCACTTCCTGCCTTCTGCCACCGCCCTGAAGCCAGAGGTAAGGAGGGCCAAGGGGCTGGCATGCAGGAGGGCCCAGAGGCAGGGGGCTGCCCCACCTTGACACTCCTTGCTCTGCCTGCTGGCCTCCTTCTCTGCCCAGGCCAGGGAATCACTGGGCATGTGGGGGGTCACAGGCAGTGCTTCCAGGTCCTGCCTCCCCACCCTGGCCCTACTCACTCTGTGCGTGCCCTCAGCAGGAACTGGTGCTTGGAGTGCTGCCTGGGGAGGAGCTGCAGGAGGAACACGTGGCCGGGGATGCCCTGTAGCTTCAGGCTCAGGTCCCGCACCTGCAGCTCTGCCATCTTGGCATGGATGAAGACAGCGAACTTCCCCAGCCTGAAGACGGGGAGGCCAGGTCAGCCAGCCTGGCCCAGGGCCTCCCCCTCCAGCGGCCTTCCCAGGAGGTGTGGCTGCACAGAGCACCGCATCCGAGAAGTCAGCCACATCCCCACAAGGGAGCAGAGCCCCTCCCTGCCCATCCTGACGGAAGCAGAAGGTGACTGACTCTCCTCCTCGCTGTCCCCATGTCCACTCACCCTGAAGCTCCTGCCACCTCCACAGCACTTATGTTCACACAGGCAGAACATCTGGTCTCTCCCTCTCTAGTCCACTCCATCCCCCAAGCTGGCCAGAAGCAACGTGCCACTCTCTGTGGCTGTCCACACCCCTTGCTACCCTCGGAAGAAGTCTTTTTTTTTTTTTTCTTTTTTTTGGTGGAACCAGGGATTGAACTCAGGCCCTTACACTTGCCAGGGAAGCACTTATTCCACTAAGCCATATCCCCAGGCCCCTAATCTATTTACTATGATTTTCTTTCTTTCTCTTTTTTCTTACTTTTTTTTTTGTACCAGGGATCAAACTCAAGACTTTGCTTTGCCAGGCAAGCACTTATTCCAATGAGCTATCTCCCCAGACCTTTACTATGACTTTCTTTCTTTTTTATTATTATTATTATTTTCTTTTGGTGGAACCAGGGATTGAACTCAGGCCCTTACACTTGCCAGGGAAGCACTTATTCCACTAAGCCATCTCCCCAGCCCCTTAATCTCTTTACTACGATTTTCTTTCTCTTTTTTGGTACCAGGGATCAAACTCAGGACTTTGCTTTGCCAGGTAAGCACTTATTCCACTGAGCTATCTCCCCAGACTTTTACTATGACTTTCTTTCTTTCTTTCTTTCTTTCTTTCTTTCTTTTTTTTTTTTTTTTTTGGTACCAGGGATTGAACTCAGGCCCCTGCGCTTGCCAGGCAAGCACTTATTCTACTGAGCTATCTCCCGGGCCCTCTTTCTTTCTTTTTTTTTCTTTTGGCGGAACCAGGGATTGAACTCAGGCCCTTGTGCTTGCCAGGGAAGCACTTATTCTACTGAGCCATCTCCCCTGCCCCTACTATGACTTTCAACATCCCAATTTCCCCAACCTGCCCTTCTCTACAATTCTAGCGACACTAGATTTCATTACCCCCTAAATACACTTTACTGTAACTTTGTTGTACTCCCTGCTCCAAATCTGCTCTTTGCCTGGAAAACTCTTATTGAACCTTTAAAATCCAGCTCAAATGTCCCTTGCTCTGTGAAGCTTTACTGATTCCCACATAGGGGCTACCTCAGAATAACTTCCACCTGGGGCCAGCAAGATAGCTCAGCAGTCTAAAACGTCTGCTTAGTCAAGCTTAGTCAGGCACAGGGGACCGCGGTTCGATCCCCAGAACCACAAGCTGTACCAGCCCTGACCTTTAGGTGGGCTGAGCTGGCAAAAAAAAAAAAAAAGGAAAAAAACGTCCATCAAACCTCAATGAGGGCCAGCAAGATAGTTCAGGGGTCTAAAGCACCTGCTAAGGCAAGCTTAGGCAAGGCACAGTGACCCCTGGTACCACATGCCATGCCAGCCCCATCCCCAGGGCTGGCTAAGCCAGCCACACACACACACACACACACGCGCGCGCGCACACACACACCCCTCAGTGATGGGCTGGAGATATAGCTTAGCAGCACAAAAACCTGCCTGACAAACGCAAGGTCTGAGTTCAATTCCCAGTACCAAAACAAAATAGTCTGCTCATCAGGATGCATTTTTACTGTTCTGAGAGCTTCTAAGGGCAGAGAGTGAGTCCCATTAATTTTTTTTATGTTTTTTTTTTTTTAATTTATTTGTGTGTGTGTGTGTGTGTGTGTGTGTGTGTGTGGCCAGCTCAGCCCACCAGGGGGCGGGGCTGGCTGGCATGTGGTGCTGGGGGATTGAACCGCGGTCCCTGTGCTTTGCTAAGCTTGTTCTAAGTAGGTGCTTTAGACCACTGAGCCATCTCTCCAGCCCATGAACCATCTCACCAGCCCGAGTCCCATTAATATTTAAGCCCCCTCTACCCAGCAGAAAACCTGGCTCAGAACACGGGTTCACTGACATTTCATTGAGAAAACAAACCGGGAGCGAACTCTTCTCATGGCCTATGAAGCCACCCTCCAGCCCATCCTGGAATTCTTCCTTAGCCCTCCTCTCAGCATGGTCACAACCGGGATGGAGCGAGGGATCGCCAGGCACCAGACCCCACTCTGGGCCTCCTTGCATGGCATCTCTTTTGCAGATGGAAGGCAAGACACTGCCATGGTAAGAGCCCAGAGCCTGGCACCAGACAGAGCTGGCCACCTCCTGGCTTCTTCCTGCCCAGGCTCCCTGGCCTTGGAGTAGCAAGGAAATCTTCCTAGCGAGAGCCCTGGAGGGCTGAGGGGAATAGTCCATGCAGCTGGCCTGGCACAGACAGATGCTGAACAACGCAGCACTGGACCGCAGGGCTGTGCAGCCCTCGCTGCTCTCACTGGCCGAAGCTCAGGGCACAGCCAGGTCTGATCCACACCTGGGTGCCCTGGCAGCCCAGCCTGATTGGGCCCATGGGTGGTAAGCTCAGTGGTAGAAAAGAAGGAAGCCTGGTTCCTTCCTACCGCCCTCTCCACCACCCCAACTCACTCCTTCCGCCGGGACAGCAGCAAGCAGTCGTTGAAGAGGTGCAGATAGACTGCCTTGCTGGATAGCTTTAGCTTGGCAGGTGGTGCTGCGGGCAGCGGTGCCAGCTCCACCAGCTCCCCATGCCGGACCAGCCAGCGGGCCTGAGAGATCAGTGGGAAGATCTGGGGAGGAGTAGGCAAGGGCAAGGTTAAGTGAGCTCAGGGGCTCTTGGAAGAGAGCACAGGATGGCAGTCAGCAGGCTGTCCAGGCAGTGGCCAGGACAGGAAAGCGCAGGAGTGGCCTCCGCCCTATTCCTCCAGCAGTGGGCACACACCTTGCCCTCAAAGTGGATCTTCTTGCTCAGGTGGATGAGCTCCTCTGTCCTCTTCATGGACTGCACGCTGGCATTGCACTCTTGCACCAGCTGAGAGGACCAGAGGCAAGTCACCGGCCGCCCTTAGCCGCCCCACCAGAACCCCACTGCAGACCAGGCACTAGGGAGCCCTCAAGCCCAGCAGGCCCCGCCCAACCGAACTCACCTCCTTGAGAGCGTTGAAGGCTTTGGTGGCCATGTCTTCGTCCTGGGAGCCCTGTGCTGTCCGCTTCAGGATGTTCTGTGAGAGGTGATGCAAGCAGTGAGGCCGGCTGGACTTCCCCCCTCCCCCATCCTGCCCCTCGCTCACGTGACTGTCGGCCCATCAGCCCCACCCCCCATACCTCCACTAGCATCTTGAGGCGGGTGATCCTCTGGAAAGGTAAAATGAGGAAGGAGGTGAGGGGTAGCCGCTGGCACACGGGAGACTCCTCCAGGCGAGCCAAGATGCCCGGAAACTTGGGGTTCTCCAGGCTGGAAAGGGAAGAAAGGTCTGGAGTCCCAGCTGGGCCTGAATGCCTGAGATCCAGGACCCAATCATCACCACCCCACTGGCTCTTCAGCTACCACTTATCCTCGGGGCACAGAGGCGGTTTTGGAGACCCTTCACCCAGTCCTCTGTAGTAACACCTGTTGCAGCCCCTCTCTTTCCCTCTCCTCCGCCCCAGGCCCCAGCCCTACAGCAGACGCTGGTAGGTGCGCTCCTGGTAGGCCTGGTTGGTGACATAGGGCAGGTAGACGCGGCGGAAGGCCGGGCAGTGGTGTAGCACCACATCGCAGACGCTGAAGCGCAGCACATCTGCCTCCAGTCGTTGCTCCAGGTCCTGCAGGAACCTGGGTGGGTGGGTGGGTGGGTGGGGCGTCAGCCCTCAGAACCAGGACCTGGAACCTGGATCCGGGGGCCTGCCCCACTACAGGATCCGTTCCCACTCCAGCCAAGCCAGACCACTCACTGCCTCACCTCTCGCTGGTGCTCTTGACCTCGGGCAGTTTGGAAAATAGCCACTGCTTGTCCTGCACTCCTAGACACTCGCTCAACTCAGGGGAGCCCAAGAAGTGGCCCACAGCCACCGACAGGCTGTGGATATAGGAGGCCTCGGAGGTGATTAGCTCAAACTTGGCCTAAAGAGAGCACATACGGGGTTCTAAGGACGAGGGTGGCCCACCCGGACCTTGGCATTGACTCTCCACCACCCAGTCCTTGCCCTTTCTCCAACCCCACTCCTAATCCTGAACCCTAATCCCCAATCTCCCACCTCCTGCCAAGTGCCTGCTCACCATATCCGCCCTAATCTACCGAAGGGTCTCCTGGCCCACCTCGCGCTTGTCCATCAGTCCCTAGCCCCGCCCCCGCCATCCCGCGTCCACCTCAGTCTGCTCCCAATGGCTCCGCCTTCCGCCCCGCCCCGTCACCCCGCCCCTTGCCTGCCACCTCCTCCCGCTTCTCCACTCGCCTGGGTCCCAGGCTCGCGTCCCTTCGGTCAGGCCACCTTCCGCGGTGACAGCCCGCGGCCCCGCCTTTGTGTGGCCCGGCCCCCGCTAAGAAGGAACCACCGATTTCTGCCCCCTCCGCCAGCTCTCAGCCCACCTCCTGCAGCTTGCAGTCTCGCAGGCTCAGCGTCGCCAGGACGCCGCTGCCGCGCACGTCGGGGATGTCCTGCCACAGCGAGAAGGTGGAGCCGCGCGCTGCGCGCTGCGCCCGGAAGGAGCTGCTCGGGGAGAGGTTGGCGCGCGGCGGCCCGGGCCCCTCCTCCGCGCCCTCCGCCTCGTCCCCGGGGACCTCCTCCTCGCGCTGCTGCCGCCTCAGCTCTCGAGCGCTGGCCACGTCGCTGTACTCCTGGTAGAGGACAGCTGGGGGGCGGGGGTCGAGGGGCGTGAGGACAGGCCACGGGCGCCGGCTTCCCAGATCCCGCCCCAAGAAACCTTGCCGGGGTTCTGATGTGCGGACGCGGAGAATTCATTCATTTACTCCACACTGACAGCACCAACTACGTGCAAGCCTCCGCTAGCTGCTGAGAATTCTGTTCTGCTCTCGCAGATCGCCACCTCCCAGCTCTCCCCAACCCGGTTTTCGACCCTTTCCCAGAGACCCTGTCCACGTACAGTTAAGGAGGAATCGCGATTGCCGCCGCTCATTGTCGCCCTTGGGGTCTGGAGGCAGCTCTTTCTGCGCGTCCAGCCTAGGAAAGACATCATCTGAGCCCTTGTTTGCCTACATCCTGTCTCAGACACCTCCCTGACTGGAAGGTGGTTACCTTGGCTCCGGCCAGTCGGTGTGGCCCTCCTTCAGGTCAACAAGTGTCGGCAGGGCTACACTGTCCGCCCTCATCTCTGTGTTGCGAGACTCTCTTCCAGGTGCTTTCCCTAGAGAAAGCAAGAGTTGAGGGTGAGTGGTCCAGGGAGTAGCCCCAGGATGGGTCCCCACTCCCAGCCAGGCAGCACCCAACCCAGGTAAATAGGCCATGTTCCACCCTGCATCCGGCTCATCAGCTGCCCCGGGGTCCCAGGGAGTTGCTAATACCTTCCCGTGCAGCTCCCGTGCCTGCTCCAGAGGCTGGTGCCCTGGCAGCGGAACTCCGTCCCAAGCGCAGTGAAGAGTGAAGCCGGGTCATCAGCTCAGACGCTGAGAAGCGCCTCCGCTCAGGCCCCTCCAGGCCTAGCTGTCTGGGTGTCCCAGACAGCTCTACTGGCCTGGGCTCCGCTGTGTGCAGGGCTGGTTCCTGTGCTGGCCGGCCAGGCTCCAGGAAGACAGCATGGGGCTCTGGGCCACTGGTGGCCTCTTCACGCTGGTACACCCGCATCTTGCGCCCTGGCAGTGGGGGAGGGGCACGGGCTGGTACCACTGGGGACTCTCAACTTCCCTGTTGTTGCCCACCTTCCTGAGCATTTCCAAGATGTTCAGGGATAGGCAGTCACCAGGACAATGGGATCAATAAGAGGGATGGATACAGCATAAGGCCTGAATGTCTAGGACAGCTTGACCTCCTGTATAACACTGGACATGTCACCCTCCCTCAGCAGGAGTTCCCTTATCTCTACAATCTCCCACTTGTCCTTACTTTCAGGCAACTCTGGGATTCAAAGGGTTCAGAAAGAGCTACCCAGCCCTTCCCCTGGCTACCCCCCACCAGGGTGACTCACAGGCTGACTTCTTCTCCGAGCCGTGGCTGGCCCGACGCTGTGGCTGCATGTGCTGAGAACGCCAGGGTCCCTCCAGAGCTGGGGCCTGGGCTCCAGGGCAGTGGGGCCAGCTGCCAGCCCTGCTGGGCCGCATCCCTGTGCTGGTGGAGATCTCCGTATCTGGGCCTGCTGGGGATGGGGGCCATAGCAGCCCTTGGAGAGGGGCAGGGGTCCCCAGGGACCAGCGACTCCCAGGAGCCCGCAGCTCCTCTTGGGCAACAGGGAAAAGGTCCAGGCACACAGGACTTAGAGGCTGTAGGGTGGGCAGCTCCACAAAGGACAGGCTCTCCTGCTGGCACACAGCTACTGGGCGGCAGGCAGCACCAGGTGGCCCAGCCAGGTGGGGCTGGAGCGTTGCAGGTGGCCCACAGTCCATTTCTCCTTTGCTCTGCCACCCACCTGGGCCTGCAGGGGAGATGGTATCAGACCCAGACTCAGGACAGCAGTGCCGGCCAGTAAGTTACCACGTCCAGGAGGCCTGGACAAAGCCTGGTGTGCACATGCGTACACGCACCTGTAAATAATAGTAATACTTACTGGCACTGCCTGAATGACAGCCAGAGCTTCACCTATCACCTTATTTAATCCTTACAACACCCCTACTCATTGATGCTGTCATTATCCCCATTTTACAGGTGAGCAAAGTGAGGGAGAAAAAGAATTTGGTGAAAGGGAGCCAAGCTTGTCACTTGAATCTCCATTTCAATACATATCTTTGTGTACACGCATTTTTCTCCCAAGTACACACACTGACACACTTTGAAGTCAGGCTCACATGTTTATACACACTTTTTAGCACTTATGCTTCTTTTTTTTTTTTTTTTTTTTTTGGTACTAGGAATCAAACTCAGGATCTTGTGCTTACCAGGCAGGCTCTTGTGCTGCTGAGCTACATCCCCAGCTCAGCACTTATACTTTTTAAATACACATTCACACAGATGCCTTCTCAATGAATCCACTGACCCATCTGACCCTGGCGCATGCACCCAGGCTTTCTCCCACTGCCCAGTGACACGCAGACACAAACACTGAGGCCCACACCTCCTTTGCTTTGGTGTTGCCCAATACTCTCCCCTGCTGCCGCCATACCCAGAGCTACGGCCTTCAGCACTGAGTGATGCCCACACCCATGCCAAGTTGGCTGGGAGGGTCACAGACTGGCAGGCGGGCCACCACCAAAATCAGGCTAGACCGCCCACAGAAGAACTGGGAGGTGGCCCAGCCCTCTCAACCTCCCCATCCCCTGTTGGGGTGAGAGGGGTTTTCCCCCATCCCACCTCCTAGCCCTGGACCCAGCCAGGCTGAATGTGCCCTCTCTGGGCAGGACCACACCCAGGGAGCTGCCAGAGCCTCAAGCCCCCAGAGCCTCTGCCCAACGCACCCCATGCCCTCACCTTTCCTGCCACCGAGACGCTGCTGATGCCGTTGGGCTGCTGCACAGGGGAAGCCCTCTCTCTGCCCAGCTGGCTGGGGGACATCCCACCCAGACAAAGAGTTTGATTCATCAAGCCCTGTGGTGAGCGAGTGGGGAGGAGGAGGAGACGGCAGTGGGGTGGGCGGGGGCCTGGCTGAGGCTGGCCTCACTGTGGGCAGGCTGGGCAGCAAGGACTCCCTCCCCAGGGCCACATGGCTCTCAGGGCACTGCCCAGCCTGGCAGGGCTAAGGAGATCCAGGAGATGGAGGCAGAAGGATTTCAAGAAAACTATTTAGAGGCCATTTAGCCAGCAGCTCAGAAACTGAGACCCTGAAACAGTCGAAAACAGCAAAACCACATATGCTGAGACAAGCAGGGATCCGAGATGGTGACAGAGACAGGGACAGAGGTTTCACAGTCCAATACTCAGAGACAGCTGTGAAGCCCAGGAAAAACCTGAGATGGGTGGACAAACAATTTGTGTCCCATGGGGTTGCCAGCCTGGTGGAGGAACCAAGAACAAAAGCAGTTACCACCCAGACTGGCAAGAGCCCCGCAACAGGCACCATCAGAATAGGTTCGGGGCCCTCTCAACCGGGTATGCGAATCTGGGAAGGCCTTCCTGGAGTGGGCAAGGGCTGCTTTGTGGCTAAAATTTCCAGGGACTGAGTGCACATAGATAGATAGGGAGTGATTCCTGGACTGGAAGAGTGACAGGACCCAAAGAGAGACAGCGGGGTCTCTGCGGCCTGGCCTGGGACTCGTTCTCCTGGGTGTCTGGGAGGTCAGGTGGGGGGTGAGGGGGAGGTACCAGCTGCTGCCAAGGGACTTCCCCGTGGTGAAGGCTCCAGCTTGGACTTTGACCTCTGTGCCTCCACAAACCTTGGTTTTCTCATCTGGCAAATAGGAGTGTCTTGCAACTTTGTAACTCGGAAGGTGAGGATAGGATAAATGATAGTTTGTGTAGAGCGTTTTAGGTGTAATCCTGTAATCCTAGCTACTCTGGAGGCTGTGGCCCGAGGATCGCAAATTCAAGATAAACTGCATAGTGGAAGTGTCCTCCCTGAGGGTCCCTCCTTGGAGTATCATTGTCATTAGTCTTTCTCTAGTTGGGAGAGGGTGTGAGCCATCAGCCAGACCAAGAAGTGGAAGACACACATTTTAGGAGAAGGCTCACACGTGGGTTCTGCCCCCCAGACAGGTCTTTTTCTCCCTGAGGAATCAGACCTTCAAGACTCAAGCCCCACTTCAGAGGGCAGCATGCAAGCGTGAACATGTGCCCCTGCTCCCTGTGTTCTGTGAGACTCTCTCCCCTTTGGTCCTAGAAGTCCCTGGGAGGGGGGCAGGGAGGGACCCCATCTTTACAGGGATAAATAAGCAATATGTTGAGTCCTTGGGGTGGAGGCACCCCCAGTCTAGGCCTCAGAGGAGAGGTGGGTGCCTGTGGGGAGAAGGGAGGGGGAGGGCACTCTCTGGAGACAAGGTTGGAGAGTGGCGCCCATGGGGGAGATCAGGATGGAGTCAGCCTCCACCCAGGTCTCCCCCTGCCCCCCCCCCGCCCCCCCCCCCTCCCCCCGCCCCTCTGCAATGGGAATGACCCATCCAGCTGTGGTACCAGTCTGTGGCTTCCCAGGGGGGCGGCCGAATGTTGGTATGAAGCAGGGATAGAGCTAGTTTACATTGTTTGTAGCTCACTTTTATTAGGGGGAATAAAAGAAGGAGAAAGGAACAGGAGGAGGAGGAACAGGAGGAGGAGGAAGAGGGGGAAGAAGAGGAGGGGGAGACGGAGAAAAAAAAAACCTCAAGAAGAGAACTGGCAGAAGAGACATCACCTGCCCAGGACACGATCACAGGATAGAGACTGCAGTAACCGAATAGCCACAAGGGTCATTCTGAAACCGCAAGGAAATGCGCTGTCCAAGTCTGAAGGCCCGTGCTGACACTGACCGGTTCTGTGAGGCCTCTAGCAAATCCCAGCCCATCCTTGGGCCTCAGTATCCCCACCTATAAAAGCCCCGGAGCTCCCCTCACTTTCAGAATCCTGAATCATCACAGGTTTCTGCAGGCAAAGAAGGATGAGCAGAGACCAAGGAGAGTCCCGTCCAGCGGGCACCACTCACCACAGCAGATAGCGGCCCAGTTGGCAAGGCTGGCAGAGTACCGTGTCCTGGACACTATTGTGTTCAGCGAAAGCATCTTAGGCCCCTGCACCCAGCTCTTTTCCCTGCCTGCGCCCTTGGCCCTGCTACCTAGGGTGAAGGGCCCCTCTGAATCCCATAGGACAAAACCAAGTGGAAGGTCAAGGTTGGAAAGGGGATCCATGCCAAGTGGTCTGCAGAGGCCCGGGAGACCGTAAGTGGATGGGGCCAGGATCAGAGCCAAGTGGGTAGCACAAAGGACGCCCTCGGAAGCCTTGCGGGAGGAGGACGGGGCTGCTGGCACCCAGTGGGGCCCTACCTCAGCCAGGGAGCTTGGTCCAGCTGTGGGCACAGTCCAGGGCTCCAGGCCACCCTGGGGGCTCTGGGGCTGCAGCCAAGTCTTCAGGGGGCAATGTCAGCATGGCCCCTGAGACAGCAACGCAAGCTCCAGGGTATTGTGTGGGGCAGGGAGGGGGAGGGAAAGGCGGAGGGAACCTCGAGGAGAGGCAGGCGGCTGTCTCAACGTGCCTGCTCCCCGCCCCCCTTCCCAGAACCGGTTTGGCCAGTCTGGGGTACGAGAGGGGGGCTGGAACAATGGGAGTCCTATGCCTGGGAGAAGCTCTGAGGGACCCCAGACAGATTTCCTAAGGATGGGGAAGGCATGGCTTCTGGTCCTAGGAGACAGGTCACCCCTCTTCTAGAGCTTCCTGTCCAGTGTGCTCAGGGGACTTACTGGGGCAGGAAGCATCCAGGGAGTTCATAGAGACCATTCCAAGCCCTGAAGTTATCAGGGACCCTGAGACCGAGGCTGAGCCTCTCGAAGCATCCATAAAACGGGAACACTCATTGTGTTGGCCATTTTGAGATGGAAGCAATCCTGAAACCTGGAGGTGTGGCCTTTGGTGCCGTCCTGGACAACCCTTCTAGCATGGCTACACCTCACACTGCTCCCATCCTTTCCCTCTACATGGGATGACACACTTCACCACCTCCTGCGGCCTCCTCCACTGTGAAGCATCCCCAGTTTTCCACACTGTCCTCTATAATATAATTCGAATAGCCAAAGTCCACCCTGCCTTGTGACAGGTGTGGTTTTCCCTATCAACGCCTGTGGAAGGGGAAGCCATTTCCTCTTAATATCACCTGTCATTTATTTGATGATGATGATGATTATTATTATTATATTTTTTGGTGCCAGGAATTGAACCCAGGGCCTTGTGCTTCCCTGCCATTTATTTGTACACTCTACAAATACCAAGCACTTCACACCAATGTTACCGTATATGCAAATACTAATGTTTATGCTGCTGGTAACTCTTGCACACTTGCCCTATTCCGGGCGCAGCTCTGAGCATTGCACATGCATCCGTCCACCTGATCTCTACCTTGGCCCAAGGAGGTGCCACTGTGACTGTAGCCACTTAGCAGCTGAGCTGGAGGCCTGCGCAGGTACATCGCCCATGTCATCCCCCTGGAATTACTCATTAATTCTGTGACATGCCATCATTTTTTTTTCTTTCTTTCTTTTCTTTTCTTTCTTTCTTTCTTTCTTTCTTTTTTTTTTTTTTGGAACCAGGGATTGAACTCAGACCCTTGCACTTGCGAGGGAAGCGCCTATTCTACTGAGCCATCTCTCCAGCCCCAACATGCCAACATTTTAAGGCCAATGAGGTTGAGGTTCAAGGGATTAAATAAATAGCCCAAGGTCTCCTAAGAAGTAATATTGAAATCCAGGTCTGTCTGACTACACTTAGCCACTCCCTGCCAGGCCACTGCTTCCGCAGACTTGGGGGAGGGCCCGGGGAGCAGTGTAGATGTCCGCTGGATGATAACTCAGTAGACCAGCTAAACCCTTTTATTATGGTTCCTACACCAGAGGCCCCCGTGAGCATATGAACCCCTATGAACTATCACTTGGCTTGGGTGAGTGGGGTTCCTCTGCTCCCTTGAATCCACTTTGCCCTCCCCCTACCCTAGCAGCATCACAGTGAACAGACATTGTGCAGGTTGGTGGGGACCAGGTAGCCATGGAAATTTGCCCATTGGGATACAGAGATAGGCTGATTGCTAGCAGCACAAAAGACAGGGTAAGGCTGGGAAAGCTGGGAGAGAACTCTAACAGGTTCATCCTGGGCCAAGGCACTGCCAGAAAGCCTCGCTGGGGTGTCCTAGGGGACTTAGGGCTCTCACTCGCTGCCCCTGTGTCCTGAGCTTGGGGAACAGCACCCTGCTTCTGAGGACAGAGAAATGCTTGGTCAGGTGGGGGAGTGGCCCCTAAGCGCCAAAGCCTCCTCCAAACTGGGTGCCCGAAAGCTGCACACGAAGGGGGCGGGGCGGGGCAAGGCAGATGAGGGGCGGTGGAAACTGTAGGGAATCCATTCAATTCCACTGGGCTAAGCCGAAGAGGGCTAGCTAAGGGACCCAGTCAGCGAGGTGCAGCTGGGGCCTGGCTTCGCGGGCTCCACAGACCCAAAGCAGCGCCACCGCCCTCCCCCCCCCCACTTGTCTACCAGCGCCTGCTTGGCCATGTAGTGCCCACACTGTCACGGTAGGTAGATCGCTGCACATCGAGCATGAGCCAGGCAAGGAAGAACAAAACAAAACAAAACCAAAAAAACAAGAAACGAGAAGGGGAGAGAAAAAATGATTACTTTAGCAGCTCCCCCTCCCAGTTTACTGAGCATAGAACCCAAAGCCTTGAGCTTTAGTCTCAACCTTTATTTCCCCCTAGAACTTGCACTCCTCCTGCCTCAGCCTCCCAGAGTGCTGGGGTTGCAGGCCACCGCCACAGCACTGGCTAGCAGGCTTGATTTATAGGGCAACTGCCATGTGCAAGGCACTCTGCAAACTCCGAGATTTAAAATTCAGTTAATACTCATGGCAATTCAGTGAAGGGGGGTGTAATTTATACTCCCGTTTTACAGATGAACAAACCAAAGCATAACGGGTTGTTATTTGTCCCCAAACACAGAAATATGATGTGAACTCTTTAGCACCGTTAGGGCAGAAGCTGGCGACGGAGGAATTTAAGCACAACTGGAGGGAGCAGCTTTCTCTCTTCCCTTTAGGTCTTTTGCAAAGAGATAATAATATTCTTATTAGTGATAATGATACACTGAGCGCCTACATTGTGCAAGTAGTTGACACCGACTCTTCGTAACGACCCTATAAAGAAGATCCTATTATATAATTCATCCATTCACAGCGAGTCGGCCGACCGAGTCTGAACTCGAACCGGTTCAGTTCGAGGCAGAGGCGGAGCCTACCTCTAAGGCGGGGACGACGGCCAGACTCGCAACCAGCAGTTTGCAGTGGAGGAGAGTGAGGCTCCCTGCGCGTCGCGAACGGCTTCGCACCCGGCGCGAGCTGTTCTGGGTGTGGGGCTCGGGGGTCGACTCGGAGCCCTACACTCCTGCTCCCTCCCCGGCCCTGGAACGCGGCGCTGCCCCTTTAACTGGAGCTCCGGTGAACTCAGCACAACTGTCCGCTGGGCGGACTCCGCTTCCTGCGGTCCCAGCTCGGTCCCCTCCTTCGGGACTCGGTGACTCCCACCGGTCCCAGAAAAGCCACGCCTCCAAGCAGACCCCGCCCCAGGAAGGCGCCGCCCCGCCCGCAGTAAGCCCCGCCCCCGCCCTCCCGCGCCTCTCCGAGCCCGGCGGGCTGTGGAATCTCCTTCTCCCACCTGCGAGTGTGTGGTTGCCCGGGGCCAGGGACGGCGCCAGCGGGAGGCTCGCGGAGCCGCGCAGCTGCCTCTGGTATTCGTCCTGGTAGTGACCCGACCGGAAGTCCGAGGGGAAGGCGAGGTGGAAAGCCTGCAGAGCTCAGCTAACCCGCATTCGTGTCCCCCTCTCGCGGCACAATGAGCCTGCAGCCGGGATTACTAGCCCTCTGATTTTTACAAACCTCTGGACCTGATTCCTCACCTCGGTCCCTTTTTCCTTAACCGTGAGCGCCTGCACCGCTCTCTGACCGCCGTTTGCTCGTCGTTCACACTCGGCAAGGTGCTCTCAACCCCGGGAGACCAGTCAGTGCTCCACCCAGCGGCTGGCCTGAGCGAACAGGGGCGCCAGAGGGAAGGCGACCGCAAAGATGAACTCAAATTATAGCTCCCCGAGGCCGAGGGCGGCAGGCCTGGGGCCACCTCCCGCTGTGCCCATGGGGCTGAGCCCTGGCTCACTCGCCACAGGTATTCATCAAACAGGCCTTCGCACCAGATGAGCTCACCGGCTCTCCTCCTATCTCCGGGCTCCAGCCCCATCGGAATGGCAGCCCTGCCAGCTGCCCAGACCGTGGCCGCCTTCAGCCTCCTGCAGCAGGTCCAGGGAGACCAAATAATGATCGAAACAGCCTGTGCTAGAAACTGCCATTTCTCATTTCTTAATATCCCACGGAGACACCTCAAACTAAGGCATGGTAGTGCAAGCCTGTAATCCCAACACTCCGGGAGCTACGGCAAGAGGACTGCAAGTTTGAGCCTAACCTAGGCAATTTAGTGATTTAGTGAGATCTTATCTCAAAATTTAAGAATGAATGGGGAAAAACTAAATAAAAAACAAACAAACAAAAAAGAATGGGGAGGTAACTCCATGCAAAGGCCCTGGGTTAACTCCTAGGTGCTGAAAACACAACAAAACAGGAAACATTATGATCATTTCCACTTTACAGATGAGCAAACAGAGCCCACATCTTCCCAAATTATAAGTGGTATAGCCAGAGGCCAGGGAGATTGCTCAGTAGAATAAACATTTGCCTGGTATGCTCAAGGGCCTCAGTTCAATCCCCAGTTCCGCCAAAACAAAAAAATATATAAGAGGTATAGCCAAGGCTCAGATCCAGCCTGTTGGAGTCTGGGGTCCAGTGCACACCGCACATGATCATTCTCAGCCTCTAGAACATCCTCACCCCAAATAGTTATTGGAGCCCCCAGTTTGCAAAGCTCTTTCCTGTTTTGTTTGTTTATCTATTTTAGGGAAGGGTCTACAGGGTGTTCAGGGTCTCACTGTGTAGATCGGACTTGTAGTGATCCGCCTGTTTACAGCCTCCCAAAAGTTGGGATTACAGGCGCTCACCACGCCCAGTCTCAATTGCCCTCTCAGCATGCCCAGGGGTGGGGTGGGCTGGCATGGCAGGCCCAGGAATTGAACCCTGGTCCCTGTGCCTGCTTGCAGGCACTTTAATCCGCTGAGCTATTTGGCCAGCCCAGCTCTTTCCTGTTTCCTGTTTTGCATGCTCTCAGTTCTTCTGGAGAAGTGTTTTTAATTTTTAATTTTTATTTATTTTCTTTTTAGGTACCAAGGATTAAACTCAGGACCTTGTGCCAGGCATGCACTTAAGTCACTGAGCTATCTCCCCAACCTCC